ATGACATTGATGATCTCTCTGACACGTTCCAAACTTTGTTCCCATCACAAGCCCTGGTGCAGTGATTGTTCTTGGACCCGTGTTTCTGTACACAGATGCTCATCTGTCCCTGAGACAGCTTCTTAGAACCAGGCTCCGGAGTATCCTCAGCCTGTCCCCAGCTTTGGGGTCCTCAAACAGTGTCTTGAAAGAATTCCAGTAATCGTGGCTAAGATCCTTTTTAAGAACCACTGGGAGGATCAAAGGTTCAAGTCCACCTTGGGCTACAGAGTGACTTCAAGGTCAGCGTGGGCTACAGAATGATTTTAAGGCCAACCTGGGCAGTTTAATGAGGCCCTGTCTCAAACAAACAAAAAGCGCTGGATGCATTGCTCAGTGGGAACCTTGGGTTCAATCCTTAATATGGCAAAAAAAAAAAAAGGGGGGGGGGAGGTGGGAGTGGGAAGAAAGGGAGCTTTGACCCTTTAGTTGAGTGCCAGGGCTGTCTGTTGAAGTCCTGTGTTCTGACTGTTACTCCGAGTTCTGTGTTAAGCTTCCTTCTCCATCCTCTAAGTTCAGACTGCTGCAGACAGACCCCGAGCCCAGGCCCCCCAGTCTTTGATTTGGAGGTCAGCTTGGCACACGGGAGGGGGCAGGGCTTTGGTGTGTGCAGCCTGGGTCGGCCTCAGCCCTATGCTCTCTCCTGCCCTTGCTTTACTGTGGCTGGTGGCCTTGGGCCTGGAGTCTTACCCCTCCCCTGTGTCCTGCGTCCCCTGTGTTGTCATGGCAGGAGAATCCCAGCCACAGCACAAGCTCTTGTCTCTCATTTTCTCCTGCTCCCCGCATCTGTCTGACTTCTCCCCCCTCCACTCCCCGACTCTGTCCACTTGAGCTCAGTCTGACATAGGGCTTAAAGAGCAGAGAGGGCTTTGGGCCTTTGGAGTCTCACTGATTTACGACTTTGCTCCTCTGGCCCTCCGTGTCCTCAGCTGAAAGGCAGAGGTAATAATACCGCCCTCCCACGCTGACAGAGCTGTCACACAACAAGCCCACAAGAAACGCTGGCGGCCGCCGCCGCCATTAGTGCTATCTCACACTCCCAACCCCTCTTCCATAATTTTGGATTTGAAGAAGCGGTTTGGGAGGGAGAGAAGCTCCAGCTCACTCTGTCCCGTTTCTTCCTCAGCTGTGTTTGGTCTGAGAGTTGCAAGGGCCTGTGGTGTAACCTGGTCTTGTGGGAAGAGCAGCTAGCTGTCTATGGCTTTTTGAAAACTCCCCTGAAACTCAGACTAAAACTCTTACTTCCCGTGATTGGTGGCTCTCGTCTTGTCATCCTGGGACTCACTGGCTACATCCATCTAGAAGCCAAGAAGTATGGAAAGCCCAGAATGTCTGGGTTTGCTCCTTTTGGCTTCCAGGCCCTGGCCCACCTGTCTTTCAGTGGGCTAGCCTGGGCTACTTACATGGCCGTCTCAGAACTGCTCTGAAGGCTGCAAAGTAGAATTCAGCCAGCCTGATTTCCACTCCATCCTGTCAAGGCAAGTCACACAGCCAGCTACCACAGAAATGGGCAAGTGCCCTCCACCTGCCGATGGAAAAGGCCGCTGAGTAGGATAGCCAATTCTGCCACCCACTCTCTGAATTCCAGTTCATGTGCACAAAAAAACAAAAAAACAAACAAACAAAAAAAAGGACAGGCCTTTCCATCCCAGCTATTTGGGAGACAAGAGGCAGGGGAACCCCACATTCAAGGCTCCTCTGGTCCTCAGTATGACTTCAAGATCAACCTTAACAAGTTATCAAGGCCCTGTTTTAAGATGAAAACTTAAAAATAAAATTAACTGTAGCCGGGCAGTGGTAGCACATGCCTTTAATCCCAGCACTCGAGAGGCAGAGGCAGGCGGATCTCTGTGAGTTCAAGGCCAGCCTGGTCTCCAGAGTGAGTTTCCCCAGTGAGGAGCTGGGGGGTGTGGCTTAGAGGTAGAGTGCTTGCCTAGCATTGCCTAGATTCAATACCCAGCTTTACAAAGAAAATAAAAGTCTAAAATACTTCCTTTATTATAGACTTCTGTGGAGAGTTAAAGCCAAATAATTTGGGACCAGTGAGAAGGTTCAGCAGCCAAAGGTGCTTTCTTTCTTTTTTTTTTTTTTTATAGATTTATTTATTTATTTATTATGTATACAACATTCTGCTTCCATGTATATCTGCACACCAGGATGGTTGTGAGCCACCATGTGGTTGCTGGGAATTGAACTCAGAACCTCTGGAAGAGCAGTTGGAGCTCTTAACCTCTGAGCCATCTCTCCAGCCCCCAAAGGTGCTTTCTATGAAGCCCAATGACCAGAGTTTGCTCCCTGGAACCCTGAATGTAGAAGGAGAGAGCAGAGTTGTCTTCTGACCTGTACACGTGTGCTGTGGTATACATGTCCTCCTCCACTGCACAGGCACGTGGGTGCACACGCGCGCGCACACACACACACACACACACACACACACATTTTTAAGAATGCTAAGGTGTGTGTGGGAGTGTGTGTGTGCTGGAGAAATGGCTCAGAGCTTAAGAGTACTAGGTGTGCGTCACCACTGCTGGGCTAATCATAAATAACTTTTCAAGTCAAGTAATCTAAAGATTGCACACAGGCTAGGGAAGGAGGGAGGGTGTATCTCATGGTAACCATTATGGATGTTACTACCAAAGAGTTCTCTCTTGGGTATTTTCTGAGTCCTAAGTTCTTTTGTGTAAAGGGACACTGTCCCTGCCACCCATTTAGACAATCTCTGCTGAGATAAATTACATTTTTATTCTGATGGCCTCCCGACACCCTTGCTCTGCTGGTATTCCAGAAGGCTCTCTTGTGACCCTCAGAAGTAATCTTCAGTGTAGCCGCTGACGTCGACGCATATGTCTATAACCCCAGCACTGAGAAAGCTGAGACAGGAGGATTGTGACTTTGAGGTCTCCAATCCTAGTTCGCAGGTGGCAGAGGCAGGAAGATCTCTGTGAGTATGAGGCTAGCCTGGCCTACATAGTGAGACCTTGTCAAAAAAAAAAAAAGAAAAACTAAACCAAGAGTCTCACAATAACTCCAGTTCCAGGGGATCCAATGCCCTCTTCTGACTTCTTTGGGTGCCAGGCAAGTACACAGATGTACAGGCAGGCAAAACACCCATATGCATAAAATTTTAAAATCTTAAAACAACACCTACAAAAGACCATCCGCACAGCAAAAGGCCAGAGATTGCAAACTAGCAGGTGTGTTCAAGTGGCCTAAAGAAAGAAAAAAAAGGGGGGCGGTATTAGAATTTGAATGAGTTGCTAGCATTCATAATCAGGGGATTTTACAGAACAATCTAGGCTTCCAAATTCTCTTGCAATTTCACCATCTGGCATGTCATGCCTGCCTGCCTCGTGGCAGCTCCGGCTAGAGTGAAATCCTGGTGAGGGATACTCTCTTGGGACACATTGGTGACTCATAAAGTTGGTTTAGTGAGTCACTACTGGCTGTGCTGGGGGTGGGGGGTGGGAGTGGGGGGTGTAGAACTCTAAATTGAAACCAACCATGTTTTCAACAACACTCAGAGCAAGGGCTATCTGGTGGATTTGGACAGGGTCTGATGCAGGATGATCTGGATAAGGTGTGTCCAAAGGGAATCTTGAAAACTCCATTCTAATTTGATGCCAGCCCAGTCTGAGTCCCTCCAATACCACCCCCCCCACACACACACACACATACACATACACACACACACACACACCTTTCTCCTAGGCATTTTTGGCTGGAGCCCAGTGAACTCTGGCTTGGCTGTGGAAAGTCATATGTTCCCCTGAGGTCTGATAAAGGGTTGCCAGAGCCCATGCATGCAACTCCAAACCCCTCAGCTTTCAAGCCCATTCTCCAATCACATAATTTCTTCCTTCCTTCCTTCCTTCCTTCCTTCCTTCCTTCCTTCCTTCCTTTCTTCTTCTTCTTCTTCTTTTTTTTTTTTTTTTTTTTTGAGACAAGGTTTCTCTGTGGCTTTGGGGGCTTGGGAACCTGTCCTGGAACTCACTCTGTAGCCCAGGCTGGCCTGGAACTCACAGAGATCCTCCTGCCTCTGCCTCCCAAGTTCTGGGATTAATGGTGTGCACCACCGCCCAGCCAGCATTTGGAAGTGAAGAGTTTGTGTATTAGCCAGGTGTGGTCCCACACACACAAGTGATTCGAGCTCTTGGGCAGAGGCAGGAGGATCAGGAGTTCAGATATAGCCTGGGTGATGAGACCAAGTCTCAAAAACTAAGAAACAGGGCTAGGGAGACTGCTCAGTCTGACTTGTAATTCTAATGCCTGGGAGGCAGGGTCAGACAGATCATGGGAGTTCCTGGCTTGTCTGTCCAGCTTACTCTACCTATTCGGGGCCAGTGAGAGTCACTGTCTCAAGAAAACAACAACAAGCCAGGCATTGGTGGTGCACACCTTTAGTCCCAGCACTCGGGAGGCAGAGGCAGGCAGATCTCTGTGAGTTCGAGGCCAGCCTGGTCTACAGAGCGAGTGCCAGGTTAGGCTCCAAAGCTACACAGAGAAACCCTGTCTCGAAAAACAAAACAAAACAACAACAACAACAAAAAAGCAAGGAGCAAGGTAGATGGGACTGGAGAGATCGCTCAGCGGTTACAAGGATGGGTTCAGATCCCAGCACCTACTTGGTATGGTGGCTACCTGAGTGGATCCAATACCACTTTCTTGCCTTCGCTGGCAGCAGGGGCGTGTACAACATCGTACACACACATATATGCAGGGAAAAACATCATACGTACAAAATAGAATCAAAAAAAAGAAAGATGGAGGCTCCTGAGGAATGAATGACACCCCGAGTTGCCCTCTGTCCTCCTCACGTACTGAACACTCGTGTACACACAATGACAAACAGGAAAGAGTATGCAGGGGTCTGCCACCCATCCCTCTTGGTCCTGGGCCCCAGGATCCCTGACTCAGTCCCCAAGTTCTCAGTCTCTGACCCCTGCTCTCTCTTGCCCATCCAGGAGAACCCGTATGTCATGCGCAGGCCCAACTTCCAGGCCTTGTCAGGGAACGAACGCTTCGAGGGCTTCTGCGTGGACATGCTTCGGGAGCTGGCCGAGCTGCTGCGCTTTCGGTATCGCCTGCGGCTGGTAGAAGACGGACTGTACGGGGCACCCGAGCCAAATGGCTCCTGGACAGGCATGGTCGGCGAGCTCATTAACCGGGTACGGCTGGCAGGGGGCTGGGGCAGCAGGACTCGGGAAGGTGGGGCTAGATCGCCACAAAGCAAAAGAAACAGGCAAAAGTTACCTTTGGCCCCTGTGTGTCTCGCTCGGCCAGGTAGGGAAGGTGTGGCATTGTCGCCTCCCGTGTTTTTGCTAGATGCCCGATCCTTTTGGTGAGTGCATGACTGTGACGTGGACTGGGAGTCAGGTGCCGGAAGCTTCCTTCAGGAAGCAAGGCCAAGAGCTGTCTTCTGGGGCTGGGAATGCGGCTCAGTTGGTAGACTGCATGGGTGCCATGCCTGAGACTCCGAGTCCGAGCCATATGAACCAGGCATGGTGGTGCAGGAATGTGATCCCAGCACCTGAGAAGAGGATTCAGGGCCTTCCTTCATCCCATTGCAAGGTCAAGGCCAGCTGGGGTTATGTCACCTGAGGCCTTGTTTCAAAACCAGCTAAAGGGAAAAACAGAGCTGTCTGTCCGCTTTCGCCTTCCCAGTTTTTTGCTCTCAAAAACTTAGTCTTTTTAGGGTCCAGGAAGTGGTTTCTGATGGAGCAAACTCATAGGAGAGGCCTAGAGCAGACCCCTGACTCTAACTCAGGTCTCAGGATTACCCCAAAGAGAGAAGCAAGGGGTGGCAGCAGGAAGTCAGGTCCTGGGATGCATGCCTGTTGTCTGAGCACATGGAAGGCTGAGGGAGAAGATCACAGGTTTAAGGCTAACCTAAGCTGCAAGGCAAGACTCTCTCTCTCTCTCTCTCTCTCTCTCTCTCTCTCTCTCTCTCTCTCTCTCTCTCTCTCTTTCACACACACACACACAAACACCTCATGGTGGCTCACACCTGTAATCACAGCAGACAGGGATCTGAGGCAGGAGGATTACCAATGCCAAGCTAGTGGCGAGTTCCAGACCAGCCAGTGCTAAATAATGAGACCCTGTCTCAAAAACCCAGCCAACCCCCCTCCCCCAAAGGAAAGGTATGAAGATGTTGGCAGGTGACGGAACATGGTTTACAGAGGTGGAGCCCTCTGAGACTGATGCACTCTGGGTAAGCCGGCTGGGCCTGCCTGGGCGTGGGAAGCACTTAGAAGGAGGAAAGGAGAGAGGAGAGGCAGGAGGCAAGGGCGCAGTGAAAAGAATGTTCTGGAGTCAGACCAACCTGGACTGGAGTCCTTGGATGGATCTCTTCTCCACCCCAGTCCCTCTTTCCCCCTCCCTGAGACGGGGCTGATACCCGGCAGGTCTATGATGAGGATCTCAGGCACCATGGACCAGTTCGTCATGCGCCACTTGTCAGACTGTGGAATTTTCACTTAACGTTTTTAATGTGTGTGTGCATGGATGGATGCATGTTTTTGTATGTGTCTGATCATGAGTGTATGTGGCTGTGTGTGTGTGTGTGTGTGTGTGAGCCTCCATAGCTCAAGCTGCTTTTGTTTTTTTTTTTTTTTTTTTTTTTTTTTAAAAAAGTTTTTTTTTTTTTTCTACAGTCCTGGCTGTCCTGGAACTCACTGTGTAGACAAGGCTGGCCTCGAACTCACAGAGATCTGCCTGCCTGTGCCTCCGGAGGGCTGGGTTAAAAGGCGTGCTCCACCGCACCCCACTTCAGGCTGCTCTTTAACTCAGTTTGTGGCTGAAGATGCCTCCACCTCTCAAGTGCTGGCATTCTGCACCTTGCCCCGTTTACGGGAGACGCAAGGGACAGAGCCCTGGGCTTCACGCCTGCTAGATGCTCTACCAGCTGAGCCACTTACCCCGACCTCTAATACGGTTCGTTTTATAGTCCAGAGAAAACCGGTTGGGCAAATAAATGGAGAGGGGCAAGGCTATGCGAAATAGGTGTGAGGCCAGAGCAGGGAACTGCAGTGAGGTTTGCCTTGACATTGGGCTCACCCTCCTGTCTCTCCCCAGAGACAGAGAACTGACTGCTTTGGAGCCTCTGAATGTCATTCAGATAGACACAAGCAGGGTACTTCGCTAGACAAGGACATCGATCCCTCAGGGCATTGGGTTTTCTAAAGTTATTTGAACAGCAGAACTTTCCCTCCCGTTGAAAGTCTCTTCAGAAGCCCAGACAAAGGCGGCGCTGCTCTGAGGAGGCATCGGTGGGGGCCTGATACCTGACTGCTTGGTCCCCACACTCCAGCCTGCAGGCAAGCCCCAAGGCACAGCCTCCTGAGGCTGCTGGCTGGTTGGAAGGTTTCTGCCCCCAGAGGCTGGGTTAAGGCCTGAGTCCCTGAAAAGGGAACCTGAGTGACAGGAGGAGGCCCAGAGCTGGTGGTCCTGTACCCACAATTTGTTCCTCTTTTGGAAAAAAGGAGTGGCTGTATAAGTGCGCTAGCAAGAAATTGCCTCATAGGAGTTGGTTGACTCTCTGCACCATGCGGGCTCCGGGGCCACTTAGGAATTCAGGCTTTACCCACTGAGCCGTCGAACTGGCCCCAAGTGTTATTTATCTTTGACTGGAGCCCCCAGAAATAGGAAGCCTTCGAGGAGCCTCTTGTTGAAGTCACAGCAAACCAGAGGCCGGTTGTCAGGCAGACCTTCATCTTGGTGGCTCTGGCTTCACCAGGTGAATGCAAGGATTTGGTGTCTGGGATCACTGTACCTGGTTGCTGCACAGCTGAGTCTTTTCGAGTCATGCTTCTGCTGTGGACCGCCCGTGTGACCTTTGGCAAGTTACCTTCATATAAAATTGGAGGATGGCTCCTGGCCCATAGCATGACTGTGATCAGCAAATGAATAAATCTATATAAAAGACTGGGGGCAAGGCCTGGTAGGCAGCGGTCCCACCTGCCTGTGACTGTTCTATTATCGTTCTTACTCCTGTCAGCATGGTCACTTCAGGCATGTAGTCATCCAGCTGGTATTTATTGTGTACCTACTGTGTACCAGGCTCTCTGCTTTGCTCTGGGAATAACCACGCCGGTCCTGGCCTTGCCCTTAGCGGGCAGGTCAAAGAGTGTGAACTGCAGTCGATCAAGCTGGTTCAAGTGTGAGAGAGATAGGCCGGTCTGAGGACCAAAGTAAAGATTATGGAGGGAATGTTGGGCCAGGGGTTGGAGTGCAGTAAAGACTAGGGGAGGAAGGGCTTGGTGAACACAGGCCCGAGGACTCCCAGGAAGGGAGTTCAGGGGATGAGAGAGAGCAGCCACATCTCCCTGTGTCTGGCTGGGGCAGCTGGCGACATTTACAGAGAGAACAGTGCAGGAGAAACAGGCTGAGCGCACAAAGCGGCTGCCACTGGGTCCTGCTGAGTCTGTGCCACCTGCTGTGGTGTGGCCAGGCTTGCAGAGCCACGTGGGAGTCCTTCCCACATCACCCAACAGCAGTAACTGCCCCTGGTTGACTTCACACCATGTACTGGCAGCTTTCCAGTTGTTACTTAACTCTGGAGCAACACTACCCTCTTGCCAGCTAGAGGCCTGGGGCTCAGCAGCATGGGAGGAGGAGTACATCTTAACTCCCAGCAGCTGGGCGCGTCTGCCCCAAAAGCTACATCCTTCGCTGAGCTCCCGGCAGGTACTGGGAAAGCCTGGAGCAACCAGGACAGTGTTCCCTGTGTCTGATCAAATGTTCCTTCCTCCTTTGTCCAAGCTTCTCATCCCTATAGCCTCACAGTGAGGGAAGGATCAGTATTTAACTCAAACGAAGGGAGGCCATGGGGGTCAGTGACCTGGTGAGCCAAGGTGGGTTAGTCCTAGATGAAAGACAGCCCATTGTACTGGCATCTCCTGGCCGCAGCTAGGAATCCCTGGTCATTCTCAGATCTGGTCCATTTATCACAGCCAGTGGCCACTGCTGGGGGCTGTAGTTCCCTCTGTGCTGGGAACTCAGATTTTGTCCTGTTCCTCTTTTCTTTTTTTAATAGGTACTTATTTTTGTTCTATGTATATGAGTGTTTGCCAGCACATATGTCTGTGTAGCATGTATATGCCTGGTACCTGAGGAGGTCAGAAGAGGGCGTCAGATTCCCCTTGAACTGGAGTTACAGAGAGTTGAAAGCTGCCATGTGGGTGCTGGACACCAAACCTAGGTCTTCTGCAAGAGCAGGCAGTACTCCAGCCCCATTTTTTTTCTCCTTCCCTCCTTCCCTCCTTCCCTCCCCTCCTCCCTTCTTCCTTTCTTCCTTAGATAAAATCTCATGTATCCCAGGTCGTCCTGGAGCTCCCCTACCTCTTCCCTCGAGGAATCAAACCCAGGACCTCATGCATGTCTAGACAAGCACTCTGCCAATCAAATGAAAGCCCAGCCCCAGCCCTGTCCTCTTGCTAGCCTCCTCAGCTTGGTTCATTCTACACCAGTTTGTTTACAGTCTCTCCAGTGCAGGTCTGACCTTCTGCTGTTGGCTTCAGCCAAAGCCGCAGGGGCTTCAGGATAAAGCTTGCCTGGTCCTGGAAGGTAGACCAGATATCCGAGGCCAGCCTCGGTAGGCAGAGGGCTTGGATTGAGGGAGTGAGGAGTTAAGCTCTGATACACTTGTGTCTGCTTCTCATCCCAAGGGAAGTTCTAGAGTTGAGCTGGCCAGGGACATCCTTCCTGCAGCTTGCCTCAAGGCCTCTATACTCCTGATAGACACATCTTGGGCTGTGAGCTACCCTTAGGGAACGTCAGGACCTTGGTCAAGGGGATCTCTTTCATTGACAGAGCTGTGAGATCCTAGCACCCAGGGCAGCTTGGGCAGCCAGTTCCCTGATTCCCTAGTCAAAGTCTGGGGTCCACTGGCCTTGCATCCATGACAGTGATACAGTGGTTAGCAGCTGACCAGCGAGCCCCAGGCTCTGGCTGTGGGGGGACCCTGCAGGATTCCTAGCAAGCTACCACCTCTCCCTGAGCCTCAGTTTACCTTTTGGAAATAATACATTTTTCCCTTTACAGACTTTGGGTTAAATGGGAGCGTTTTGTAAGGTGGACTGTGTGCTGACATCATAGTCAGTGGGGTGTGTGTTACAAAGGGTGTTAGAACATTGCCTGTGAGCCGGGCATTGGTGGCGCATGCATTTAATCCCAGCACTCGGAAGGCAGAGGCAGGCGGATCTCTGTGAGTTCGAGGTCAACCTGGTCTCCAGAGCGAGGGCCAGGATAGGCTGCAAAGCTACACAGAGAAACCCTGTCTCGAAAAACCAAAAGACAAACAAACAAACACATTGCCTGTGGAGTCAGATAACCCTACTTTGGACTTGCTCCTTGCAGGTTGTGTGAACAGCAGCCAGGCAGCTGCCCATCTGAGTCTTAATGCACACCCCTAACTTGGAGGGGCATCATTGAGGGACCAATGAGATCAGCACACATGCTGTCATAACCAAGACAATGTCCCCATCACCCTGGACATCACACACCATAAGCTAATGCTGAGCAGTTGAACAGTTGACTCTCTCCATGACCATCCCTGCAAGGACAAGTGCATGGTCTTTCTTCAACCAAACCCACAGTTTTGCTTACAGTCTCCATGCAACCCTGTCTCTGAGAATTGTACCAAGTCCCTTAGACTGGCATTTTTAAATACTCTGCTGTATTGGCATTCTAATTCCAAAAAAAAAAAAGTAGTTGATGTGTTGAGAAAATTAGATAAGTAGGTGCAGAAATGAAAAGAAATCTTGCTGTAAGATAGCTTTCATGTGCCTACAAACCATCGTCTTGGGGCCAGCGAGATGGCTCAGCAGCTAAGAGCACTGGTTGCTCTTCTGGAGGACCCAGGTTCGATTTCCACCCATCCACGTGGTGGCTCAGAACTGTCTATAATGGCAGTCCCAGGACATCCAATACCCTCTCTGTCTTCTGATGCTCCAGGCGTGCCCATGGTACCAACGTCCATGCAGACAGAGCACCCGTGCACATAAATAAGAATTAAAAACAAAGCATCACCTATAATTCTACGTAAGGTTGAAAGTTCAAGGCCAGCCTGCACTACATCCATAGACCCTGTCCCTAGATGAAACAGTAAACAAAACTACCCTGCTACATGGATAGAGTGTATAATTTTGTGTTTACAAAACTGTGTTGTAGTTATTCTATCTTGCACAAAATATATTTATGCATATATAGTAGTAGTCCCAGCACTCTGGAGGCAGAGGCAGATGGGTCTCTGAAATCAAGGGCAGCCTGCTCTACAGAGTAAATTCCAGGACAGTTAGGACTGTCTAGAATGGGGTGTGGGTTGGGGAGCTGTTGAAGGTAGGGTTGAAATGAGTCCACAAGACCCAAGATAAATGATTAATAGGTATTTATTATGGAAGCACTTACACAATTAATAGCAAATAACCACCTCGGTCTTCCTGCTCCTGAAGATGGAGTCTGGCTTGGAACTGATTGTATAGACCAGGACAACCGTAAATTCCCATCCCTTCCTCTTCCATCGCCCTAGTATATACAACCACACCCAGTTATGTATTTACAACTTTTATTTTTCCAAAAATGGTATCATGCTACATGTACTGTTCTGTAGCCATGTTGTTTTATTTTTTTTCTTTTAAGATTTTACTTGTTTATTATGAATACAACATTCTGCCTCCACGTATGCCTGCACGCCAGCAGAGGGCACCAGATCTCATTACAAATGGTTGTGAGCCACCATGTGGTTGCTGGGAATTGAACTCAGGACCTCTGGAAGAACTGTCAGTGCTCTTAACCTCTGAGCCGTCTCTCTCCAGCCCCCAGCCTGCTGTTCTTTACTTTCATCTTAACTTGGGTATTTGTTTGTGGTTCGCCCCTCCGGATCTCATTCTGTAACCCGGGCTAGCCTCACACTTAAAGAGCTCCGTCTGCCTGCACCTCCCTAGTTAAAGGTGTGTGCCACCATGCCTAGCCTATTGACATCTTTTTTGTCAGTATACATAGATTTGTCTCCTTTCAAATGTTTGTTTTCTTTTGTTTTTTTTTTTCTCTAGACAAGGTTTCTCTGTATAACTTTGGAGGCTGTCCTGGGACTAGCTCTTGTAGACCAGGCTGGCCTTGAACTCACAGAGATCCACCTGCCTCTGCCTCCCAAGTGATGGGATTAAAAAAAATTTACATTTGTGTGCGTGTGTGTGCACTGGACGCCATGGCGCACGAGTGGAAGTCAGAAGGCAACTCATGGAAGTCAGTTCTCGCTTTCCACCGTGGAGGTTCTAGGGATGGAACTCAGTCCGGCAGGCTTGGCAGCCAGCGCCTCAACAAACCGTCCAGCCATCTCTCACATTCCCTATCGTGGCTCGGCGTTTAAGTGAACAGACCACTTGGATCTTTTTAAACTGCTAGTGGGGGAAAGTGTGTAGTCTGGCTATTCTCTTGAGAAACAGCTACTAGGGGGAGTGAGCAGCAGCAGATGGCTCGTGTGGGAGACCTGTTGGGTGACAGGAGGTTCAGGCCTGGAAGATGTGGCCTGGGCTATCGTGGCAGCCATGGCAGGTGTACTGCCAGACTGGACGTGCCTGGGAGGAGGGACTCAAGTGCCTGGGGTTGGGCTGGACCAGCCGAGTGGATGCGGTGGTGTGGGTGAGAAAGAAGAATTAACATTTGGATGCCAGTATCTGTTTGAAAATGAAAGGGAGACTGGGGAATTCCGTTTATGGCTGGCACGTGAGTTATTAAGCCTATCCCCTATTGATAGCCGGCTGGGTGCCTTCCAGTGTTTGCTTGCTGGCACAGCCACTGCACCTCTGAACTTGGCCTGTTGTGGGTTTGTGGGAATGTTCCTGAGGGATACATTCTGAGAAGTAGGAGGGGCCCGGTCAAAGAATAGGAATGGTTTTGAAGTGTGTACTGCCAAATGGCTGTTCAGAAAGGTTCCGCCAATTTATATTCCCACCAAAAGTGCAGGAGAATGTCAAGTTTCCTGAGCGCTTGCCAACAGTGGTTATTATCAATATGAAAGAAAAGGAGTTGTGCCAAGGAGGAAGGCCGTGAAATAGTGCTTGATTTTTGATTTTTTTGTTTTTTGTTTTTTTTCCGAGACAGGGTTTCTCTGTGTAGCTTTGGAGCCTATCCTGGCACTTGCTCTGGAGACCAGGCTGGCCTCGAACTCACAGAGATCCACCTGCCTCTGCCTCCCGAGTGCTGGGATTAAAGGCCACCAACGGCCGGCTTGATTTTTTTTTTAAACCTAAACATAATGTTATATGGCTGCAATCAACATGTATACATCTATTTACTTATTTTACCTACTTAGCATTTTAAATAGATTAAAAAAAAAACTTTCTATATATGAATATTCTTTGCCTGCGTCTGTGTATGTGGTGCCTGGTGCCCGGGAAAGCCAAAAGGGGGCGCAGGATTCAAGACAAAAGACAACATGTAAAGGTTGAAGAATTGAACCTGGTTCTCTACAAGAGCAGTCAGTGCTCCTAACCGTTAGCCATCTCTCCAGGCCTCTTTCTTCCTTCCCGTCGCTCCCTTTCTCTCTTCCTTTGAGATGGGGTTTTTGCTATGTTGTCCATGTAAACCTCCAGTTCCTGCACTCCTGTTGCCTTAGCTCAGGAGTAGCCTGGGGTTCACGTGCCTGTCACTGCATTCAACTTCTTTCTTCCTTTTTATCTTTTTGAGACAAGGTCTCTCTACATAGCCCTTGCTGTCCTGTAACTTGCTCTGTAGACCAGGCTGGCCCCAAATTCACCGAGATCCGCCTGCCTCTGTCTCCCGCACGCTGGGATGAAAGGTGTGCGCCACCACCGGCTGGCTCTTCGTTCATTTTTGAGGTACAGTCTCACATAGCCCAGGCTGGCCTTAAACTCACTAGGTAGCTGAGGATAACCTTGAACTCTTAATCCTTGAGAGCTGGGATTGTAGACCTGCACCACCATCCCCAGCCCCTTGCTTTTTCCAGGCAGATTCTCTGTATAGAAGGACCAGTTAGCAGAGCGTGGTGATGCACACCATTACCCCAGGAGACAGAAGGCTGTCTGACTTTCCAACCAGCCTGGTCTTCACAGCCAGTTCCAGACCAGCCAGAGCTACACAGTGAGACCCTGCCCTAAAAATAAAGGCTAGATGAGGGCTAGAAACGTAGCTCAGTGGTAGAGCAATGATTGCCTGTCATATGTGAGGCTGTGGGTTCTGTCCCCAGCCCTAAGAAAGACAGACAGACAGATGTTTTTTATGGCTTTGTTGTGTATTGTTGAACTGCTTTTCAGAAGGACTCCAGCCATCCCTTGTCACTGTTTCTGTAGTTTACCCTGCCATCTTGGTAAAAGGTGAAACATGAGATTTAGATTATCCCTGCTTTGCCTGCAGTGGGGCTGTTATATGCTCAGCCAATCAGATGAAGCCAATCAGAAAGTGTCTGATAGGGGGATGGCCCCACCCAGTTTCTGGCTGGATGGTTGAAATTCACATATCCGGAAGCTGATGGAACCCCAGGTTGGTGCACCGAGCACTAACCCAGGGAACCAGGGCCACTGTGGTAGCAAGAACCTGTCCCTTAGAATGTTCCATCTTTCTCTGGATAGTAATTCTAAAAGCAGTTCTTTATCCTCTGGGGAATCGCAGAGATTAGCGCCACCATCAGCAGCTCCAACGGATCCCACCCCCCGTTCCTCTGCCTGTTTGGTCCACGCAAAGACAGATGGATCCTAGAGAATGACTGTGTGGGTTGTGTGCCTGGAGTCAGGCGATGACTCAGTTGCCATTGCTGACCCAAATGAAATGTCGTTACTGGAGCAGATCAGGACAGCTGCAGCTGACAGACACGAGTGACCAGGCAAATGCCCTTTCATCCACACTGATTTCTAAAGACCACCCGAAGCCAAGTGCACACCCTCGAAGCCTTGCCTCGAGGCAACATTCTGTGTTCCCACTTTCTGCCCTATTACCGGCTTCGTAGAACTTGATCTCCAGGGTCCCCACAGTCCTGGGCTGACTGCTGTGTGGACAGCACTACGCTGATCACATCCAAAGAGCTGAAAGTAGTTTCATTAGTGGGATTAGCAGTAACCCTTTCTGATATCAATCAGCCTGGACCAGTCTGGAGATAAAAACAACTGCTTAACTCCCTAGAAACGTCGCGGTTCTGTGAGGTGTGTGTGTGTGTGTGTGTGTGTGTGAGTGTGTGTGTGTACTCATATGCAAAGCTCATGTGGAGGCCAGGGTTCCTCTTCTATCATGGCCCACCCTATTTTATTTATTTTTTGATTGATTGATTGATTGATTGGCTTTTCGAGACAGGGTTTCTCTGTGTAGCTTTGGAGCCTATCCTGGCACTCGCTGTGGACACCAGACTGGCCTCTAACTCACAGAGATCCACCTGCCTATGCCTTCCGAGTGCTGGGATTAAAGGCATGTGTCACCAACGCCCGGCTCTATTTTACTTTTTTTTAAGATAAGACAGGGTTTCTTTCTGTGACAGCTCTGGCTGTCCTGGAACTTGCTTTGTAGACCAGGCTGGCCTTGAACTCACAGAGATCCACCTGCCTCTGCCTCCCAAGTGCTGGGATTAAAGGCGTGTGCCACCACGTCTGGCTCTGTCTGCCCTATTTTTTAAAAAAAGATTTATTTTGTGCACACAAATGTTTGCCTGCATTTATATACGTGTGCCACGCATGTGTGCTTGGTGCCTAGGGTAGTCAGACCAGGGCTTTGGATCCCCTGGAACTGGAATTACAGATGGTCATGAGCTATCATGTGGGTGCTGGGAATTGAACCTGGGACCTCTTAACCAATGAGCCATCTCTCCAGCCCTCTGTCTTTTGAGAGTCTTCACTGAACTTGCCAGCTAGACCGGATGTCGAGTGAGTGCCGTAAAGTCACCTGTGTGTCCCCCTCCCCCAACACTGAGGTTAAGGGTGATGCACCTCTCCGTGCCCAGCTGTCATGTGGGTGTTGGGAAGCTGAGCTCAGGTCTCCATGCTCACACAACAAGCACTTTACCCACTGAGCTCTCTCTCCAGCCCAGAGAGGATTGGTACCTAGCCAGGCACCATCCAGCAGGGCTACTGAAATCCCAGCACTCGGTGCTAAGGCAAGAGGATTGCAAAGACTTGGTCCCAGAATAAAAAGTAAAGGGGCCAGCAAGGAAGAGATGATGGTGATTTCAGTTTCTGGAACCAGGGTGGTAGAAAGAGACGACTCCTGCAAATTTTCCTCTGATTACACACGAGCACCGAGCACCATGGCATACACACACACACACACACACACACACACACACACACACCAAATAAATAGATAAGTAAATAGGATAAAAAAATAAAAGCCAAATAAAAACCTGAACCTCAGTGCACACAGGCGCGCGCGCGCGCGGCTGAAATGCAGCTCAGTGATCAGTACTAGCAAGTGGCAACAGCTCCTGCCTGTAAGAGCCAGGGAGTCAGAAGACAGCAACTCAGAGCCCGGAGTCCCACAGAACCCAGTCTTAGGCCCCGGGAAGGGGCCCTGCTTGCTTGGTGCTGTTGACATTTAGCAGGTGTCTGGGTGCTCGTGGCAATGTGGGCCACATTAGATAGTGTGACTTCCATCTGCTTGTCTCCCAGCTTTGCATTTGGAATGAGGCTGGCTGTGCAGCGGACTCAAGGCAGCATACGGGCTGCTCAGTCCCCTGAACTGGACAGGCAGCAGGTCCAGAAATTGTCAGAGTGCTCGTAGCGTGTAAGATGCTGTTTGGAGCTGTAGGCAGTGCCAGTGGGCACCAGTGGAGGCAAGCGTATGTCTTCCATGTTGACTTTGAGACACTCCTCCTGGCTCCTTGATGGCCACACAGGACATCATGCCGCCGAGGACTGTGTGACCAGAGCTCCCACCAGGACTTGTGGGTCATTTCTGCCTTAGTCAGACCCTCATAAAGTCATCCACTTGCTAAGTGAGGGAATAAGAGACCTCCAAGTCAGGAGTGAGAGACCTCCTGGTAAAGAGCCAATCAGGGAATATTTTTGACTTTCAGGCCATTTGGCCATAGCACTCAGCCTTTCTGTCAAACAGAAATGCAATCAGATGATAGGTAAACAAGGGGCCGAGTTCCAGCTAAGCTTGCTCTACAGAGGCACCTGAGCTAGGCTTGGCTGGAGGGCCACTCTTGCCCACCCTCTCTCTCCTGTGCATGCAGAAGGCGCCCGAGCCAGCCACAACTCTAGTTCTGATAGCAAAAGGGAAAGCTATAGCTCAAAGGGCCTGCAGCTTGGCCCCCTGGAGGCCAGCTCTGGGCGAAGCCAGCTCTGCTGATGTTGTTGGGAAAGAGTAAAGGAGCCACTGCTGCCCCAGCTAGGGAGGGAGGCGGGAGCAAACCCCCCATCCTACAACCTTCAGCCTTCCTCGGGCGCCCTCTGTGGGTGGAGCCTGGCAGAGCAAGCCTTCCCTCCTCTGGCATCCTGAAAGCCTTCCTCTAGCTCCCCCTACTGGTGGAGCCCAGTGGAGCACTTGGAGAAACGAGCATTGGGGGTTGTAGGTGTCTAGAGTGTGGGTTTGGACATATCAGAGGGACAGTTACAAGGGCTTCGACTGGCTTTGGGGCATTCAAGCGACCCTCCCTCCATCATTTCTTTAGTTATTTTGTTACCAGTCAAAATAATGGGTATCATTATTGAGTGTGTGTGTGTGTGTGTGTGTGTGTGTGTGTGTGTGTGTGTGTGTTGTGTGAGTATGTGTGTGTGAGTGTGTTGTGTGAGTGTGTGAGTGTATGAGAGTGTGTGTGTGTGTGTGTGTGTGTGTGTGTTGAGGACGTTAGCAATCTGTACTTTGAGCAGTTATGGGAACATGTTATGGTTAATGCAGTGCAGCAGGCACACTAACTCCTGCAGCCCTGGACTCTGTACACTCTTGTCAGCTGCTTCCCCTCCTCTCCCTCTGTCCCTGCCTCCATCTTTCTACCTCCAGGAGTCCTCCCTGCCCTCGGGTCGTGTGTGCTCTGTGACTCTACATCTCCGCTATCTTTTCTTTTCCTTATGTAAAGATTTGTTATATAGATGAATGTATGAATGAATGAATGAATGAATGAGCAGAATGGGCAGGCGGTCACAACGTGGGTAGAGGATGACACAGCAGGGAGAGGCAGGTGGAGCAAGGCTGCGTGGGAGAACTGTAAAGTACGGTCTGAGGGGCTTTAAAAGCCAGCAGAGAAAGCCGGTCAGTATTTTAAGAATGAGTGTTATTGTGGCATTTAAGCAGGGGGCCGTGCCAGCTGTCTGGGGGACAGAAGTGACCTTCCCCACCCCCACCCCACTCCTGAGGCCTGAGCAGGAGCCAGCAACAGAGGCAGAGGGGATGATGTCATTCCTCAGGTGTGTGGAAGCAGAGTCAGGAGGGCTGAGAGAGAGAGAGAGAGAGAGAGAGAGAGAGAGAGAGAGGGAAGGATGGGACTGACCTCCAGGCTTCTATCTCGGAGGGATCCGGAAGACAGGGGTCAGAGCATAGCTGGGGACAGAGACAAGGGTGAAATCACTGCAGGCTTCCCAGAAGGTCAAGGGCTTGACCTGGAAAGATGGCTCCAACGTTAAGAGCACTGGCTACTTTTTGCAGAGGACCTGAGTTCAGCTCCCAGCACCCACATGGTGACTCACAGCTGTCTGTAACTCTAGTTCCAGGGGATCCAAAGCCCTCTTCTGATCTCTGTGGCACACATACATACATGCATACATGCAAACATACATTCAATTCAGCCTGATGCTCATACACGTAAAATGAGAATAAACCTTTAAAACAAAGTCGGTCAGCGCCCATATGCTGAGCTCCCTGCAGACATAGGGGTCAGACCTGAGACTGGCTTCAGATGCCCCAGCTTTGGAGGGTGGGAACAGCAGACAGGAAAAACCCCCATCAGAGGACACGTGGTTCCAAACCCCAGAATCAACTAGATCAAAATGTCCACTCTGTCCATGCTCTCGTTTCTTCACATGTGGGTATGAAGGTCCCTCTGCATAGAGCTACTCCGGGGACCAAACATGAGGCTCTGGGGAGACCCCAGAATGGTGGCCATGATAGGGCAGTGTGTGAGTGTAGTGGGTTCCCAGGACAAGAGACAACTTGGAGGCCCAGGAGACAGTAGTAATGTTTCAGGCTTCAGCAAAGGATGATGGGACATGAGATACAGCAGCTCCTGCTCTGAGCTGGCCCTGTACAGTTGCCACAGACAAATGACATGGCCCTGCTTTCGAAGGGTCTGTGGCTTAGTAATAGAGGCACAGAATTGAACAGATGTTTTGTAATTTAAGCTGCTGGGGTCAAGGGCTATCTGGGCTATCTGTCGGGGGGCGACGGGACGTGTTAGAGGAATGGCTGGAATCACCCCCCCCAAAAAAAAAAGACAGTTTCACTCTATAGCTTTGGCTGGCCTGGAACTGCATAGGCAGACCAGGGTGACCTTGCACTCACAGAGATCTGCCTGCCTCTGCCTCCTGATGGTCTGGATCAAAGCTGTGGGCCACCATTTAGCCCATTGCTAAACAGACACTTCGGAGAATACAAAGGGCAGAGGATACCTCTGGGCGGAGGTCAGGTGGGCTCGGTAGAGTATCTAGGGAGGCCTGACTCCTGACACTGTTGTTGAGACTATCTTTTCCCTCCTAGACCTCAAGTTTTGTTTGCAGCTGCTGGTGGTAAGGAAGAGCTATGTTCTAGAATGGAGTTGGCAGAATTCAAGAGCAAAAAGCAAGCCACGGTGGCTGGAGCTTGCCCGGGTGCCAACAAGGCAGGAAGCTAACACTCCGAGGGCCACTTAGTGACATGGGAAGCCATTCTGTGTGTGTGTTCGTTTGTTGGTTCTTAAGATTTATTTGCCTGCCAGCAAATATGTGCACCACATGAATGTCTAGTGTCCTCAGAGGTCAGAAGAGGACTCAGGCTCCACTGAGATTAGAGACTAGAGTTACAAACAGTTGTGAGCCTCCATGTGGGTGCTGGGAATTGAACCCTGGTCCTCTGGAAGAGCAGCCAGTGCTCTTAACCACTGAGCCACCTGTCCAGCATCCCTTTAGCTAATATGTGGGGAGTGGATGTGGGCTTTGGGAGGGGATGGGAGGGTTCCTAGGGGGCAAGCGTGGCTACCAGGAAAAGCACTGGGGAGCACGGACCTGGGTGAAGGAGTCAGGGAGGAGTGGACAGACCTGGGAGGATTCCCCACCAGAGAGGCTGCCCTTGCTGCTGGAAAGAGGGCCTGAGGCAGGCCTACAAAGAGGCTGCTGAACCACGAGAGATAGGGAGAGAGCAAAGGGGAGCCCCACAGGCTTTCTGGGGAGGAGGGGGATCCCCAAACGGTTGGCTCAAGGACCACAGAGCACTGGGTATGTCAGCGTTTCCTGAGCCACCCTGGAAGGACTATTTTGGATGCACACTCATGCTCTTACACGCGCGCGGGCGCGCGCGCGCATACACACACACAAACACACACACACACACACACACACACACACAC